ATTAAGTAATTTATTAAATCAGTAAAATATTTAAATATTCTCTAATGAATCAATAATTAAAACATAATTACTAATTAAAGGAATTTTTTAAAAAAACTAAGATATTACTTTATTGCATATAGTAAATTTTAAAAAACACAAGTAAAGAAACTAATTTTATATTATGTTTAAAGAGTATAGCCGTTTGGCTATACGGCTTAAATATTATACTTATACAATATAGCCGTTCGGCGTTACTAATAAAATATATATTTTGGAGTATTGCCGTGCAGCTTGACCTTTAAAATGTTTATTTAAAGAGTATAGCCGCGCAACGAGACTATAAAAATTATCTATATTAAGTAATTTATTAAATCAGTAAAATATTTAAATATTCTCTAATGAATCAATAATTAAAACATAATTACTAATTAAAGGAATTTTTTAAAAAAACTAAGATATTACTTTATTGCATATAGTAAATTTTAAAAAACACAAGTAAAGAAACTAATTTTATATTATGTTTAAAGAGTATAGCCGTTCGGCTATACGGCTTAAATATTATACTTATAGAATATAGCCGTTCGGCGTTACTAATAAAATATATATTTTGGAGTATTGCCGTGCGGCTTGACCTTTAAAATGTTTATTTAAAGAGTATAGCCGCGCAACGAGACTATAAAAATTATCTATATTGGAGCATAGCCGCCCGGCTGTACTGCCATTAGTAATTAACTAATATCTTAGCCTTCAAATGTTTTTTTATGCAGCTTCACTTTTAAAATGTTTATTTAATGAGTATAGCCGTGCGGCCAAAAAAGTTCCGACATAAAAACCACAAGCAAGGGTGAAACTACATACAAGGGTACCATGGGATGTAGCCCATGAAGCTTTATGAAGAAAAAACAAAGAACGTATATAGCCTATCAACTTCCCTTCCCACTTGTTGGGGCTCTCGTTTTATGGTCTTCTTGGTGGTTTCCCACTATTTCTATGAAGACATATTCTCAGACAAAAAAAATAAAATCCAACACATTAACAGTGAAATATTATTGTTACACAAACCATAAAATTTTATATAAACTTTCAAATTGTTACACAAACCATTAAAGTCAAATTTAACATCTTGTATTTGACATATGCATTGAAGATGCTCTATCAAGAAAAGTTCCCTTTTTGACATGTTTTCAATGTCCCTCCCTAAGCAGTTTGGTGAAACCTCATTAGGGAGGGAGGTTGGTCTTTCACCCCTCAGAACACGTTTGACAAAAAGAAAAGCTTTTATTAAGAATTAGCCTAACTTCTAGTGTTTGGTAAGGGCATTGACATGTTTGGGAAGAAAGGTCAAGCCAATAAAATCAGTTACAATATCACTGACACCCCTAATTTGGTCTAATTAGATCTTAAAATCAGTTACATAATCAAAAACAGAATAACCAAAATGAATATTGAATAATAAATTAGTTGGGAACAGGTCTACATTCGCAACACAAAAGAGGGAACCATTAATTTTGTAATCCCTTATATACAACGTGCAAGCTAGAATTTGGTTACCAATTTTCAATACTATAAACTAGTTTTTTCTTTTTCTGTTGTTGATAGATAATATATAATGGTATTGGCAACATTGCCTTTTTAAAGTCAATATTGGCAATATTATCTTTTTGACGTTTCTTGAAAATGTGATAAAGTTATTTCCTCATGCGTGATCTCGTCCTATATTGTGATCTAGTTGTATTTTGAAAGATAAGCTAACCATTTACGGGAATATTATTTTAAATACAAGCGATATTGGGGGTTGGGGAATCGAATCTATGACCTTGTGTGCCGAAATAAATACTCTTAACCATTTGGACTACAAATCATTCCTTATTTACTAAAAGTTTAAATTTGGTAAAAGTGGGTGACGATTCACAAGTGGTGAAAGAAAGAAGGTAAAAGCAATTTTACCTTTGAGATACAAAGGATTTAGAACATACAAATGGAAAAACGAAAGAGGCAAAGTAAATAGCATTATTCGCAAGAGACAGAAATGTTAATCGTAGACGCATAGGTGGAATCTTCCCATTTTTTTATAAGTGTCAGTGTCAATCTCAAAATCCAGTTAATAGTCAAAATTATTTTTCCAAAAAATTATTCGTATTCGTTGATAACAGTCATACTGTCACATTGTTGTTGTTATCAATCATCTCGTATTATAACACTTCTATTTATATATTAATACAGTTTATTATATGTGCAAGTAAATCAGAAGCAAAGCCTTAAATTTTGATCAGATCGATCACTGTGATCATTGAATTGAACCTGAGCTTTAAGATCCAGTGGGGTCCCCTGCCCCCAGAGTCCCCACACCTCTGTAAAGCCAACCCAGGTGGTTTTGCAGATCGAACACGTCTGCTGCCATAATATTTGCTTTTCTTTTTTCTTCTGCAGTTTGGTGTTCAACCATAATATGCCTTTCATTTTCTTCACCATCTTGAATACGCATCCTCTTCATCACCACCAATATCTCAACGTTGACATAGAATCTACACTATATTATAAGCACCCAGCAGCACCCTTCTTCTTCCTCTAATTTCCTCTGCACACCCAGCTCTTGGCTCTGAAATTTCCAGCTTCCATAATCCTATTTATTTATTTTTAGAGATAATTCTAGTTTTAGAGATATTGGCTCTTGGCTCTGAAATTTCCAGCTTCCAGTTTCATTCATGTAAATTGTGGTCCTCTTTTCCACATTCTCTTCATGCTGCACCCTCTCTCTGTCAACGATGGTGGTTCAATTCAATTGCATAGAGATTCTATTGGGTTCGATTGAGTGGCGGTGATGTCAATCTGGTTCGATGGGGTGGTGGTGATTTTGATTGGGTGATGGTGGTGGTTCAAGCTCTGCGTGTGGTTCTCTGCTGGCAGCGTTGATTTTGGTCTGATGGGAATGGGGAGAGAAGATTGAGCGAGAGAAGCAGCGTGTTTTCAGTGTTTGTTTCCTGTGAGAATGAAAACAGCTTTTTTTTGTTTTCTACAAGTAGACGTGAAAGAGACCATTAACTGGGTGTGCAGAGTAAAAGACCTTCCCTAATAATAGGGGACCCCCAAAACCTCAGCCTCCACGTCACCTTCTGTCACCATACCCCCTCTATTCTATTTAGAGCTCCATAGAGCAAACCCATCGGCATTAAAGTTCCATTTTGCACCTTAAACACCCAAAAAACAGAGCAACCCAACCAAAAACAGAGCAAATCAACAGAAGGGTTCTTATAAATTTGGAGTCTTGAGATCACATTCGAGATGGGTAATTGCCAAGCGGCGGAGGCGGCGACGGTGCTGATTCAGCACCCGGGAAGCAACAAGGTCGAGAGAATTTACTGGTCTGTGAGCGCCCATGAGGTCATGACTTCCAACCCAGGCCACTACGTGGCTCTTCTCATCGCCTCTCGCACCATGAAGTCTGAGAATGGCGCCCCTGTGAAGCAGCTCAAGCTTCTCAGACCAGACGACACTCTGCTTATTGGACAGGTTTATCGCCTCATCAGTTTCGAAGGTCAATGTTTATCGGCACGCTTTTTATTTGCCTTTTGCTTTGTTTAGGACGAAATGTTTTTAAAATGAAATTTCTCTCTTTTGTTATATGTATACAGATGTGTTGAAGGAGTTTGCTGCTAAAAAATCTGTGAAACTAGGGAAATTGCTGAAGGATACAGGCGGGGCTGGCCTGGAAATGAGGATGAAAGACTTGGGTGGTCCGAATCCGAATCCAAATTTGAAGTCCGAGAACCACAACTCCATCAAGGTAACCATGCAAAACTTTACAATTTTTTGTTTAATATGAGTGATAGTTTAAAATAATCTAATTTACACTAAAATTGAAGTATAAAGGACGCACTCATTGCTCTGACTAACAAATCTAACCTACCTCTATAAAAAATTTACACTTTTGGAGACCCTATAATTATTGTTGAATCATATGAGCCCGTAATACTCATTTGGGAAGTTTGGTGATTCAAAATTTGATGTCATAAACTCATATAATATGAAGCTCGGATATCAAGCATTTTGTAGGACTTTTGTTTGTGGTTGGTTTATAGGGCATATTGTAGACCCTATGCTTGTGGTTGGTTTATAGGGCATCTTCTTTTTATTTGTCATTTCAACTCATCAAAGCATCTTTTCGATCCAAAGGGTTTTACAGAAGGTCAGAGATGTTGAGTTTTCTGAAGTTTCTGACTGGTGAATTAAGTAAATTATCGTCTGTAATTCGAAGAATCTGATCTTTACTTTAATCCCACGGATGTCAAGGCATGTGGGTTTTTTTGGTAACACGTTTATTTTTGTCAGAAACTTTCTCAGGATAGAAATATAAGAATCTGGTTTGCAACAGGTAACGCTTCAAAAATATAAAAACAATACGGTCATGTGATATAACTCGTTTATGTATCAAAATGTGAATTATGAATGGGAAGAAAATTTTACCAAACGTGCATTATTAGGGTATTAGCCATTAGGAATTTTATGTTGCCATATTTGACAATGAGGAATGGTGGCCACCATGTACGATGCCACTAACCAAGCAATGAATTTAAAGTGCATAACATGTGGGCCAGAAAAGAAAAAAAATCAAGCTACGCATGTTTTCAGTTTGTAAAAGTTCTTTTTCTTCTTTTGTTTTAGGGATATGATTTCCCCACTTCCTTTTTCTCCACTTACACTCCCTTTTGTTTTTTTAATACTTTTTAATCAATTTTGTTCTTTCTCTTTCCTATTCTACCCTTATTCTACATTAATTTCTTTTTACTTCACTTTTATATTAGTTCCTTTTCTTTATACTTAATTTTCCAACTTGCACCCCATTTTCAGTATTTTTTTTTTTTCCTTTAATCAAGTAAGAAATTAAGTTTTTTTTTTCCCTTTAATACTGAAAAATGTAGTGTAAGTTGGAAAATTAAATATAAAGAAAAAGAAATAATATAAAAGTGAAGTAAAACATAAATTAATATAGGATAAGGATAGAATAGGAAAGAGAGAACAAAATTGATTAAAAAATATTAAAAAGCAAAAGGGAGTGTAAGTGGAGAAAAGGGTAAGGATAGAATAGGAAAGAGAGAGAACAAAATTGATTAAAAAATATTAAAAAGCAAAAGGGAGTGTAAGTGGAGAAAATGGGAGTGGGGAAATCAGCTCTCTTGTTTTATGGTTGGTTTCTAAGGACACGTACAATTATTGGCATGGCCTTTGTCATGAAGAACAGGAGTTTTTGATTTGCTAAATATAAGGATAGAATAGGAAAGAGAGAACAAAATTGATTAAAAAATATTAAAAAGCAAAAGGGAGTGTAAGTGGAGAAAAGGGGAGTGGGGAAATCAGCTCTCTTATTTTATGGTTGGTTTCTAAGGACACGTACAATTATTGGCATGGCCTTTGTCATGAAGAACAGGAGTTTTTGATTTGCTAAATTTCCACTTGATTAAGAATTCACTTACCCTTTACCAATGTTGGCACTGATTGAGGTAGTTATCAACTAACCACATGACCAAATTCTGCTTTTCTTAGAAGACACTGTTTAATATTTGAGTTAGACGTGCTTCTAGGTAAACAGCTTTAGTTGGGTTAGGTGACCTTCAAAACTTGCTTAACATTATATTAATGAAACAGAAAGTTGTCATCAACAAGGACATATACACATATAATATTTTTAAAATTTATTTTAGGGTGATCATTTTCCCACTCCCCTTTTGTTCACTTACACTCCATTTTAAAAAAAATAGTTTTTACTATAACAAAAAAGGGAGTGTAAGTGGATAAAAAGAAGAGTGGGAAAATCAACTCCCTTATTTGATCTACATCCGGTTTAAGTTTTTAAAATTTATTTTAGGGTGATGATTTTCCCACTCCCCTTTTGTCCACTTACACTCCATTTTTTTAAAAATAGTTTTTACTAGAACAAAAAAGGGAGTGTAAGTGGATAAAAAGAAGAGTGGGAAAATCAACTCCCTTATTTGATCTACATCCAGTTTAATGCGTGGAGAAAAATTTATTTCTACTTAATTTTATTAAACTTTGATACCAAATAGACATAATGCGAGGATTACGTCAAACTATTGTTATAACTTTTGGATTTATCCCAAATTATCTATATTAGGGTAGAAAACCATCATTTAGAGCTTGAACTTAAGTTTTCAACTCTTATAATCGAACCTCTTCAGAATTTTTGTTTGTGTGAATTGTCATTGTCTCATGGTGCGTGCGTGCGTGTAAATATTGCACATGCTCAAATATCTCCTTTATTTATCATT